CCCCAAAACCCCAAAACCCCAAAACCCCAAAACCCCACAATGCTTCATAAAATTCAGTAAATAGCAATCGAAATTAACAAATTTCATAATTTTAAGAGAATAGCTAATAAATTACTCATCGATTCTATCAAACTAATAGATAGACTTTGGTTCACTCAGATTTCTTAAAGATAAGGTAACCCCACCAGATACTCCAAAGCCATCCAATGATTAGCCAGCAGGTAATGAATTGCAGAAATCCAGTGATAAGAGTAGCTGAACTGAACCCATTCAAAGAGATACAGGAAGAAATCATAGTACCCCAGCCTGGCAATAAGATGTTCAAAACAAATAGTATGATGTGACCTGGCTTTGCGACCTTCTGGATAGTTTTCTTTTGGCAATCGTCGAGCATTTAACAATATCTTATTTTATTATTATTAATAATTTAATTTTGCTTGTTATCATTATTATAAATTATCTTTATTATCTTAAATTAATGGGAAATATTAATTGCTGCTAATAGCAAAGTCAACAAAAAGGGGCTTATTATTTGGAAAATTAACCCTTAGATATTGATCAAAAACACATCATGAAGGGATAGCTTAGAAGGTCTATATCAAGTTTTATTAATGCACATTCAGAGCGTTGACTTTCAGGAGGGAGAGAACTACAAAAGAAAAAGCTGAATCTTGATATTGAAATGATTAACAATGATTACTAGCAGCTAAGTCAAAGATAGCAATACCATCATGATTATCATTAATAAGAATATGGTTAATTTACAATTGAAAGTCCCAAAGTTATATATATTGATTCATCCTAGTAAGAATCATTGTTAAATCACAAACTATTGCAGGAAAATGCACGATATTCGTACATAACTACTAGTTTGAATGAGAATAACTATATTCAATAAGCAAATATTTCAAATAATAAACTTCAATTACCAATAAATGAGCTAACTTCCTCACCTAAAGTAAAACAAATAATCAAAAATGAAGAAGAGGTATCAGAAATAGATTCTGATTTTTTCGAAAATTCATCAGAAAATGAAGAAGAAAGTTAAGAACAAGATAACTAAGATTAAATAGTGGAGTGCAATTAAGATTAAGAAGAAGAGGAGGGATTTGTGTCTTTGAATCTCAGTCAGATCTTCAATCGACAAATCATTTCAGAATCAACTACTGAATAAGATGAAGAATCATATGACCCTATGAATAACTCTGAGTATTACGAATCTCTCAGCAAAACTCCCTAATTTAGAAAATTAGAAGGAATGCAGCTTTTTTTGAATGGATTCAAACTTTATGATGACTAAATCATTGATGTCCCCAATTTCTAAGTCAAGAAATAGAGATCTATCGCAGCAAGTTCTAAATATGAAGATTAATCTGTGCGATCTAAATATAGTTAGCTGACTAATGATACCTTAAGGTAGCTTTAAAGAGTAATAAATTACTAGAGGAATCGGAATAGTCTTTAAGGCTCGGAATAATAAACCTAGAGGCAAAATACTTAAAAACGAAAAACCAAAGTTATTAAGGTATTAAAGTTGTGAACATAGCTTCCTATATATAAACATTAAACCGCAAAGGTATATTTAAGAGTGTATAGCTTGGTAATTAAATCTTTTTATTTCAGACTCAATTAAGTTTTTGAAAAACGGGGTTTTGGGGTTTTGGGGTTTTGGGG